CTCTCGTGCAATACTGCAGGATAATCTAACAAAGACTCTGTCTTATGATGTCAAATCCTGACTTGGCATGCTCAAAGGGAACATATTATTCAAAGTTTTTTGCCTATGGCCAAGTTTTAAAGAAAGCAGCTATGATTCCAGGTATTTGATCAAGGAGAGGTTCAGTTGTTTACATGTTAGCCCCATGGGTAAGGTGTTACCTAGGGTTGAAAGAAAAATCTCAATTAGGAGAGAAAATGATACATTCTAGCAAAAAAATCTTAAGTTTTTCTCCATCAAGGTACATGAAGAATCATCATTTACCTATGTTTGTACATTATGTCTTTATAATAAAGGCTTCTTAGGTATGGACTTTTGCTCTTCTGAAATCTTGCTGATACCACAGTTTCTCAAATGTGCTGTGGAGAACTGGATGCTGAATGCCTGTTCGCTCCAAGCTTCAGCAGACGAGAAAAATGAATGTGGCTTAAGAGCCCTTTCGCAGTCCTGGAATGGAGCTGGGTCAAGAACTCACCACACCCTCCTTTCCACTACTTCAGGCATCAATACAAACCACTGGAAGGCAGTGGGCGGAGTCTTACGGTCTGGCCTCCGGGCTGATAAGATCACCTCTGACTCACAGAGCGGTTCAGGACTCAAGTTTTAATTTTCCACATCCATCCACCCATGACTGTCATAGGGTTCTCCCACAATTAGTAGTCAGGCTCTTAGAGGTGACAAGGAACAGAGATATGACAAGTTTATCCTAAGGGATGGGAGTTGTTATAAGAAAACTGCGTCAGTAAATGAGTGGATCAAAAAACTGTGGTGCATTTACACAATGGAATGCTACTCAGCAGAAAGAAGGAACTCCTACATTTTGCTATAGCATGGATGAAACTAGGAAGTATTATGCTCAGTGAAATAAGCCAGTCAGTGAGAGACAAATATCATATGATCTCAGTTATAACTGGAATCTAATGAACAAAATTAACTAATGCACAAAATAGAACCAGAAGCATGGAAACATGGAACAGACTGAAAGTGATGAGAGGGAAGATGGGTGGGGGACAATGTGAAAAAAAGGGGAAGGAACTAGTTAAAGCACACGAATGAATGACCCATGAACCTGGACAATGATGTGAGGATTGACTGTGAGAGTGGGGGTTGGGCTGGGCGGAGGAGGGCAAAGGGGAAAAATTGGGACAACTATAATAGAATAACAATAAATTTTTTAAATAAAATAAAATTATTAACCACAAAAAGAAAGAAAGAAAATACCCAGAAGTAGGGAAACAAAGAAAACCACCCTTGCAGCATTCACATGCATGGATGTCTGCTTCTCTGGATCTCTCCAAGTTTCTAGCCAGTCTACTGTCTGATTGAAATACTTTAAAGTTCTTTGAAAGAGAATATCCCATTGGGTCAGTGAGGCAGAGCTCAGTGAAGAAGACCCCTAAAAGACAGAGTTCTTGATCCAGTCTACCTCCTAAATCACCAAGTTCCCAGGTGCCCTGCCTCGATCCAGCTGCCACTGGCAATTGATAAGAAAGAAAAAAACCTTATAGCAGCTTCGTTAAAAAGGGTCTGTGGCCCTGGCTGGCGTAGCTCAGTGGATTGAGCTCAGGCTGCAAACCAAAGTCTCGCAGGTTCGATTCCCAGTCAGTGTACATGCCTGGGTTGCAGGCCATGACCCCCAGCAACTGCACATTGATGTTTCTTTCTCTCTCTCTTTCTCCCGCCCTTCCCTCTCTGAAAATAAATAAATAAAATCTTAAAAAAAAGGGGGGGTCTGTGACTGGACATTCTCACAGTGACATGGAGTCCAAAGCAGTATAGAGCCAGATTCTGGCTTCAGACAGTCCGAATTAAATCCTGAATTCACTACACTCAAGGCCACCCAGCTAATGGCAGTTATTTGATCTTTTGATGCCTCCATTTCCTAATCTGTAAAATAAGTAGGATTATATAGGTATCTCAAAGCAGGCTGCATAGATGAAATTTGTTAATCCACGAAAAGCCCCTAGCATGCAGACCAGATAGCATAATTGCTTAGAAAAAGCCATTAAATTGTGCATAACTGTCAATTCTCTGAATGTGCATTTGCACGCCACTAAAAATCTCAAGGACCGCCAGTAGCACACACACAATGTTGAGTGAGCCCTGCACTTGAGAACCGTGAAACCCTGTCGTGGACCCTTTTGTAAACTGAAAATACAGCCCTGTTTGAGAGTGATCCTATTTTTTGGTTCTATATGAAATGTCTGCTCACTGGCTATGGTGAACATAGGGGTAGGTTGTAAGCCTAGACGGTTCATGGGTTTACAAAAAAAAATGTATTTTTTAAAAGTAACATAAAGCAAACATAGCTAAGATACTTTCATATCTTAGTGTCAAGATACAAAGTCACATTTAGAAGTGCCATTGTTGTTCAAGGACTCTTTCCTTTGAGAGAATAGAAACAAGTAGTCAGAGGTGTTTCTGAGCCCAGGTGGCCACGGGAAAGGTCAGTGCAACAAAACAGATAAACTTGGTGCCTGATATCAGACTGAGCTAGGCCTTCATTCCTAGCTGCCAGCTATGGCCTTAGGGAAATTATTCAGTCTCTCAGAGTTTCGATTTCCTCTGGCCAATGAAAACATATTCTCTGGGTTGGGGCCCAGGCATCCTGTTTTTAAATGCCCAGATGATGCTGATGTGAAGTCAAGTTTGAAACTCCAGGCTCTAAAGCTAGTGTCTGTCAAACTCTAGCATGGATCGCAGATGGCTGGACCCCGCTCCAGAGTTTCTGATTCGTTAGATCTGGGGTGGGACGTACGAGGTGCATTTCCAACCACTTCCAGGTGATGCTGAGGGTGCTGTTCAGGGACCCACTGGGAGGACCACCCTCAGAAACTCCTCAGGTCACTTCCGGTTCCCCTTGCCTGGTGCTTGTGAATTACATCTATGCATGCCCAGCAACATCCTGCTTTAAGTCACTCAAAATAAATCCTTTTTTTCCTAATCTTTCATTTCATTCTTCACCCCACCAACCCATCACAGCATTCAAGTTCTTTGTCTATGCCGGTTAGATACTATTTATAATTGTTTTAAGCAAAGCCCAAACTAGGATGTTCCAGAGTCATAACTCCATTATTCTTCCCAGTCTCTAAATTTCTCCACGGGTCGGGGGATGAGAGAGAACGTGCTCTATTTACTTTTGCACACTTGGCTTTGACCGAAATACCTGGCACATAATGGGAGCATAAGAAATGCTTCGTTTCATGCAAAGAGCCCACAAGCTAAAAATACTTCTAGTGTCAGACTTATTTCTCTGAAAAAGATGAACTTGCATCAATGACGATGTGAACTTCATCATCACTTGCCAAAAGCTTTTAGTTCTTTTAAGGAATAGAAGTGGTGTTTTGCTTGGTGAAGGAGAGGCGTGTGTTTTTACAGCCTTATCATTGTTCACAACCTTCACACCTCTCTTCTTCAGTCTGACCGTGTTCCTCGCCGGTGGCCCTCACACGCTGAACCTGATAACCACACACACCCAGCACTGTGACAAAAATATGCCTAATTTTCCGATGGGGGGTTCTCACTTTTTAAACACTACTAAAATAGAACACGAGGTGAAGTCTGGCCCAAACAAGTAAACAGGCTGGAGAACACAACAGGAACCTCTGAATGAGCCCCAGTGGACCCCCTCGACATCACTGGCCCAAAGTCTACGGAAGTGTGTCAGCTTAACAAGGTGGAGGCCTTAGTATCCTTTAACCTCAGGGTCCGGTTATAATTTGTTATTCATTAAACAGCTAACTCCTTACCAGGAGGCCAAAAGCCAGCTATCTTTGCTATGACACGGTGTCCTAAGTGCTGCTGCTGCTTGCTCTGCCCTTCCTTGAGCAGACATTATTGTAAGTAAGGTCAAGAAACAAAAGCACTCAAGAGGAAGAAGAAAGAGAAGGAGAAGCAGAAGAAGGAGGAGGAGGAGAAGGAGGAGATGGAGAAGAACAGGAGGAGGAGGGGGCGGGGAGAAATGTGATACTAAATGAGATAAAACCTAGTAGAAGCTCTGCAAAAGACTGCTAAACCAGGGTGTAGGTCTTCAGGTCTCAAAGAACTACAGGGGAAAGGTTATTTTGTTTATTGTTTGGGTTTGGTTTGGTTTTACATGGAGTTTTAAGAAAATTTTTATGATGGTGGCGGTTGAGAAGGGTAAAAGACCTGAACTGGTCTTGATTTTCTTCAGGATAGTCCTGCAATCTTTTACTCCAAAGTGCAAGAAACTCAGAAAAATGTCAGAAAGGTGAAAGTGCCTGAAATGAACTGCTAGGAAATCAAACCCCAGCACAACCCTGTTTACAGAGTGCCCTTGTCTTAAGAAAGAGAATTAAATATGGACAGGTTTGAAACCCTGCCTATAGAAACTTCCCCAAAGAGTTATACATTTATAATTTCCTTGCTGTTTTACCATTTTCTTAACAAATCATATCTCTGAGTCCCCAGGCATGTTCCCCTAATCCTAATGATTCTTCCACCTGCAGCTTCAGTCACTGACAAATATTTTCTGCATGATTAGTATGTTTAAAACTCATTAGGATGAGGGGCTGGGTCAGGGAAGAGGTAAAGGGATTGAGCAAAAAAAAAGAGAGAGAGAGAGAAAGAGAGAGAAACCTCGTGGATGGAGGGAAGGGAAGGTGAAGGAGAGTATTAGGGAAATAAATGGTGATGGAAGGAGATTTGGGTGGTGAACACACCATACAGTGTACAGATGGAAAAAATGTTCATTCTCTTAAAAAAAAAACCTTCTATAATTTAAAGAAACACACACACACAATGGATTTAGTCTCTGTCCTCATACAGATTTTAGGTTCCAGAGGCCAGATCAGAAAAGTTTTTTTTAAATTATACCAACTTCATATGAAGACAGTCAGAATCAAGTTAAAGGCAGACAACGCAGGGTATGGAAGTCTCTCACTGGTGGCCTCCGCCTGCTGCGAGGAGGGTGGAGGTGCAGGAAGACAGCTCCTGCACAGTGGCGGAGTCACGAAGGAGCGTGCAGCCGCGTCATCCTCGCCACACACTCTCCTCCAAAAGGAAGTGAAGAACATCAGGGGAGCTGGTAAGAGCAGAAATGGAATTTATTACTTTAGAGTGGTGAGGGCATAAATTTGTAGGAAGTACCCATGTATATTTCTTTCTTTTCTTTTTTTAATATACAAAGTCTCTATGGTAAAACTGAAAACAAAGGGCTTGAAAGATATGGAAGTACAGTGAGAAAGTGAAAGTGCCCCATCCCCCAAAGTAACCACGATGAACGGTATACAACCCGGCCTTCCAAAGTGTTTATATACACATATGCATGTATACATTATAACTGTATTGTTTTTCCATTTACCTTAGTGATGTCATATTACATCCATTTTCCTTCCATAACTTTTCTTTTTCTCCTAAAATGTCTTAGATATTTTTCCACCTTGGCACATGGAGTCCTGCTTCATTTGTTATAGGTGTTGCCTTATAATCACGGTATGGATCACCATGGTTTATCTAACGATTTCCGTACCGATGAAGATTTTTCTAGTGCCATTTCCCCACTATTTGAAGCAGCAATGCAGTGAGTACCTTTGTACAGAAATGTGAATATTTTCTGAGAAGAGGGAGGACATAAACACAGAGTCCTGGATCAAACACCATGTGTCTTTATTTTCATAATGGAAATCGGGATAAGAAATTGGGGAATTAATTGCTAAATTTTTTTTTAAGAATACAGTAACCATACTCCATTCATTTGTAGAAAACAAAAATAATTTGCTGCCCTAGTTGATGTGTCTCAGTTGCTTGGGTGTCGTCCCACAAGGCTAAAGGTCACCCGTTCGATTCCAGTCAGGGCACATGCCTGGGCTGCAGTCCCGTCCGAATCCGGGAGTGTAGGGGAGGCAATCCACGGATCTCTCTCTCTCACACTGATGCTTCTCTTCCTCTCCTTATCCCTTCCTTCCCCTCTCTCTGAAAAACTAAATAAAATATTTAATAATAATAATAATAATGATTTCCATTCTCACATAAGACAATTAGTCTCCCTTTCTTTAGAAAAGGGTTTGCCTGTATCTCTCCGATCAGCTACGACCTCCACAAGGTTCAGTACAAGTATGAGCATCACAAATTGCAGCACAGTCACTGATTCAGAATCCGTATCGGCAACAAAAGATTGCTAAGAAAGTAATTTTCTGCTCATCAAAGTCATCTGACCCTGCAGTTCTTTGTAGAGTTGCGTTCTTCTCTTAAACTATTTAATTCACCTTCTATTGACCTCTGAAAATTGGTCCTGCATGTTTCTGTTTCATTTTCTGGAAATACATGCTTAATAGTTTCTATAGTGATATACCTTAAGTCCAGAAAAAAATTTATTTCAAGTTTCATTTTATTTATTTTTTTCAATTACAGTTGACATTCAATATTATATGTTTCAGGGGGGAAAAACATTTAATGTAACCAAAATTTAGTACATTGTAACCTAGCACACTGCATGATGAAATACATCATACTATCCATATCAAGTAGTCAAAGGGTGGTTTTATCAAAACAGCAAAAATTTTCCCCTTGTTATTTTGGGATATTTCAGAAACATGCCTCTGAGCTCTAGCACAGGACTTGATTAATGCATGATTTCCTCTTTAAAATTAGAAACAGGAATCGAGAATGAAGCTTAATAATTTTCATTTGCTCTTCTTTTCCAAGCATTCTAATTAAGGCCTGGTTCCCAGACCTGATTAAGCAGCTCCTACATCTGCCAGCAGTTTGCAGTTGTCCCTGCAAGGCAGGAACTCAAGCTTGTTTCCAGTGAATGGGAACAATCTGGGAAAGAGCAATAAGGTGAGATAGGCTGTGAAAGGGGGTGTTATTGGGTTCGGTTCTGCTCTCGTAATTAGAGTTTGCCAGGTCCCCCCCACAGAGCGCGACAGCACACTTTAACAACGAATGTCAGGAACAGCCCTTCTAAGTGAAACGCCACTAGTTCTGACTCCTAGGGCTCTGTGTCGGGGAGATCCTGGTTTCCACCGCTTCGCCCTTCGAACACCTGGAGCTAAATGGGACAAGGCAATGTGTTCTCTGGCTTATATTTTATACGAAGAAAATGTAAAAGATGTGTGTGCTGTCACTATCTGATGTCGTTAATCTCTTCGATTTCCTGTCATTATAAAATAGATTTGAAATATATTTTCAAGTGGCTGCAATGGAGAAAAGCATCAAGGAAAACCCAGGGATCATCAAACCTGAGTTTTCTCAAAACTATTTTTCTATTCAAAGATAATGGCCCTGGATGATTTCGGGACATTCATTGCTATGATATTGAAATGTTGAAAAGTTGCCTATGATCTGTGATCACTGATCTTTGAATGTTTCTGGCAAATATTCAGAAAACAGATATCTAAATGGTCCTATTTAAAAAGGAGTAAAAGTCAAAACTCCTCTTATACAAATCATATAATCATATATGGAGAAAGTCCATTACTTTGAGACCTGAATAGATCCCTTTCCTCATTTCACTCTATACATTTTAGCTGCCATGGCAGTGCCAGGCCTGTATGTTGATTTGAGTGGGATGGACTTCACTTACACATTCTTTCTCCATAGTCCACCACTGGGAGCAATGAGGAGCTTCTAAGCTCCTCATTCTACCTCACAACTTCCTGACTCAAAAAATTGCCTACTTCATTCACCTTCCTAGTAACACGAACTATCCCAACCAGTAACTTAAACAGTTCACTTCCATAAACCAATTCAGAGTGTTTCACTGAGTCCCCTCTCTGGACATCGCCAAAATCCCCTATCAGACTGACAGCCCTGGGGTCAGCACTGGGCAATGTCACCCTGATTGTCCTTAGTGTTTCTGCTCTCTCTCTCTCTCTGTCTCTATGCCCACCTGCAACTGGAGTCACACTGCTCTCCCTAAATAACACTTTGTTGACCTTTTTCTCCGGTTCAAAAATTTCACCCACATCCAGTTCAATCATCAGGGAACTTGAAATCCTACATGCCTTGTGTAGACTTTTTCAGAATGGCCTCTACCATTATTATTTGCCCATCAAAATCCTAGGGACGCTTCAAATCACGGATGGATCTTGTTAAAATATCCATTTCAGTTCAGTAGGTCTGAAGGGGAGCCAGAGATTCTGCTGTAAAATGTTGCTGGTGGTAGAGACTGAACTTTGAAACACAAAAATTTAGACAACTGTTCTTTTTCTGTCCCTGGCAAGGGCTTATTTGAAAGGACAGAAAAGAGAACTATCTACATATACAATAAAACGTCATATCTGATTGACTCAGGTTAAGGACTAGGTAAATTAACTTCTCTTTAAATTTTATATAGTAGCACTTCATGGGTGATTGACAACTGTGTACATATATACCACAGAATTGTCTATATCCTATGCAAACAAATCAGCCCTGGTACAACCATTGAAACTTCTGAAATAATTGTCCAATGTGTTGGTATGCCACTGGAAACTCAAATCCTAGCACGGATAACACAACCAGACTTTATCTGAACACTGTACTTCTCTCCTCTGGGCCTGGGCATCATGCATTTATTGCTTTTGCTCGGTTACTGCCCTCCCACCTGCAGTAAGCCGTCGGCTGAATTCTCTCCATCTGTTCTACTACCTGGGGTCCAGCACCCTGTAGCAAACGGCACTTCTTGCCTGTCTTTAATCTGTGCACCATGGGGAGAGCTAAAGTAATGAACTTCAAAAAATCCTGGTGGGCGGATGTTACAGGATTTATATACTTTTATTTAAAGCATTATTTTGTTTTAAGGAAACCATGATTTCTCTTTTGTTTCCTATGTGGAATATTGATGAAGACCAATAATTTAACAGAATAAGCTTTGAAGTGGGCACAGTACTGGCTCTCAATTACACTGGCTGGAAAAGACATGGAAGGTAAAACCAAGCAAATGTGTGCATTGTTTCAAAGATGAAATTATTCTATATATAGCTTCAGTGTTTTTATTGAGTTCATATTCATTATAAAAGCTTGAACTCTTTGAACTCTAGGGAACCAAAGAAAGCTTATATCATGCAGAAGATGGATTATGGTTCAATCATTAAAAAATGGTAAATTATATACATTTTACAAAATGTGACTAAATAAGCCTTTTTCAATAATAAATACTAATTTTTCCAGGTCTATTATTGCATCTTTTAATAAATTAAAAACTTGTCATAAGCACTGACTCTTACTCTTGTAATAGGTCTTCAACCTACCTTAAATTCTATTTCGCTTAGTCCAAGAGCAGGCATAGCACTCAACCGAGCTAATCAAAGACCTTACCTGAAATTGATATATGAACTTGGGAGGAGAAGTGCTCTTTCTGGCATGTTTGCTAATCTGGGAGAATGTGAATCTGGGTTTTACAGTAGCCCAATAGTTCCTGCCGCCAGGGAGAGCATTTGAAGTGAAACTATTTGTGCATGTGTGGAACAGAGGAGGAGAGGAGGGAAGGAGTGAGAACAGAATGGTGGAGAGGGGAGAGGAGAGGAAAAAGGGGTCAGTACTAGGTTCATCCCAACCAGTGAGGTACTGATCCTTGAAACTCTTCTTTTGCTCATGGGAACTACCCCCGGTAGCCTTTCCAAACTTCAAAGACAGTGAACTCCCTTAGTTTGGTTAATCTAGTTTGAATCAAAGAAGTATGATTAGTGCACCACATCCTTATTGTTTTTTTTTCTTTAGTGTTTAGTTTGTTTGTTTATTAAATTGTTTTTCACCTGGTCATTCTGTTTGGGAGTGTAGCACTTGTGTGTTGTGTAGCCATTCTCTCTAGTCCTTCTCTGTAGGGTAACAGATATCCAATGTTATGTTATATTATCTTCCAGTTAAGCAAAACATATAATAAAGAAATTATTTTTTTCCTGACTCTTGTATATTGGATCCTAAAGTCAAGAAAAGAAAAAATATCTTCCTTTTCCTCTTCCAGATACTTCAAGAGCCAACAAGGTTTTGCCTAAATGGGACTCACAACAGCTAGGAGGTCAATGCACTTGTGTGCCAAAATGTGCAAGGGTAAAGTCCTACCCTAAGCTACACAGAGCCCGAGGAACTGGTCTTGAAGACGGTGTAGGACAGCAGCCTGGTGATTGCACCTCATTCTCCAAGCCTGCCAGGCTCTCTCTTTGCTTCTCTCCTCCATTCTCCAGTACACAGCACGGCCACCTTCTCTAATGCACCAGGCCCCTGCCTTCTCCAGTTTTCCTCCGTTACTATGGTGAGAGGAACTCTCTAAAACCCATTGGGTTTATTTTCTTCAAAGGAAGACAGTAAAAGACTGTTCTAAAGTTTTACAAAAGGCTTCCTCCTCCATCTTGTGACAGAGTTATACGTGGGTCCAGATCTGAGAAAACAGCATGGATAGCCCTTCCAGTGACAGAGAGGCCCTTACCACCGCCACTGAGCTGTGTGGCCTTACTCTATGACTCGGTTTTCTTATATGTCAAATGCAGAAAGCAGTAGCATCTCTGCCGTGTAGTTATGGTAACAATTAAATAAATGCACATATGCAGCATTAAAATAAACACTGCTTGTCACATAGGAAGTGACACATTATTGCCTCCCACACTTTCCGCTCCCGCCGCTCCCTCTCTTTTGCATTCTCCACTTACTCCTTTACACTCACCGACACCAACAGGAGGGAAAACCCTTAGCTTGTCAGTTCAATGGGAATTTACTGTTTAGCCATTTGATTTATGTTTGTTATAAAAATTAACAAATAAAAATTCACATATTTAAGAACTTTGTCTTACTGCAGACTTCAGGACCTGGAAGCAAACCTAAAGGAGTTATTTGAAACTTGGTGTGATTAATTTAATGTCAAAGTTAACTCGATTTTTCCGAGTAACATGGAAAGAAGGAAAGACATAGAGGGGGAAGAAGGTGGGAAAAGACAGGCAAGAGAAAGAGGAAAGAAAGCAAAAGGAAAAAAGGAAGGAAGGGAGGGAAGAAGGGAGAAAACTACATTCAGGAAAATTATGAAACTACATCAAAATTCTCTGTAAAACAATCCCATTTCATATCCTATTAAACTCCATAGGAAATGACATTTGCTGCAGTACGAAAAACAGATGGTGGAAGGAGAGAGGAAAATAAAACTCCTTGAAAATCGAGAATGAAAATGCCACCGCTAACATTTTAGGTCCCTCTGACGTGTTCATATATCAAGTTATAGCCTCCAAGACAGTCCCTTTCTTTATTATAGGCATGCCTTCCAGCCTAAAATAGTTCCATGGGGCTTCTAAAGTAAGAAGTGAGTGGTGTTTTGGACATGTGTTCGAGTGAGGTTGCATGTGAGTCTGTGAGTGAGGCCGGGGCAGGGAACAGTGGGGGTCATTCAAACCCTTGAGACAGGCACCCCTGACTGCGAAGCTTTGCCAGCAGCTTGGTGATTCATCTTCCTCCCAGGCACGAGCACATCGAGTCCTCTGTTTTGCTCTTAGTTCACATTTGTCCTCTTTAAACCAATGAGTCATAAGTTGGAAATATGTATGAAATAAGCAAGAAGAATATGTCACAGAGTTATTTCTGGTTGTTCAATATACACATCCTAGGACATCGTGTGTTTGAAAGGCAATTTTCAAACAGGAGAAGTCTCTCCAAAGCAGATAGAATTGGTTCTATAAGGAAAAAAGAAAGTCAGGTGCAAGAAGAAATGGGGCCTGGTGAAATGATTAGGCTTAGGTGAAAAGAATGAAATATTTCTTCATGCTCTCAAAAGGATAATTTTCTTCAGAGGAAATTGCACAAATTCTTGGTCCCTCGGATTAGAAGAGAACTATTCTTGCCAAAGTTTAGTGCTGGGAAACAAATGACATTTGGTC